TGGGTTAAGGGAATATTGTAGCTCGTTTGATCTTTTATCCAGAAAACTCAAACTTTCTCCGTGTCAGTAGTAAGACTCTCTTATTTATGTGTTCACTGGAATAGCACTTTTAAGAACTTTTCCTTTGCATTCACAACTTGGCTAAGCATTTGGCGCAAGAGGTCTAGCATTTGGCCTATGTCAGCTTTTGACATGGCTTCCTCACTAAGCTCTTTTTACTTACTTATTTTTTTGAGATGGAGTTTCACCCTTGTTGCCCAGGCTGGAGTGCAATGGTGCGATCTTGGCTCATCACAACCTCTGCCTCCCAGGCTCAAACAATTCTGCCTCAGCCTCCCAAGTAGCTGGGACCACAGGAGTTTGCCACTATGCCCGGCTACTTTTCTTTTTTTTTTTTTTTTTTTTTTTGTATTTTTAGTAGAGATGGGGTTTTTCCATGTGGGTCAAGCTGGTCTCGAACTCCTGACCTCAGATGATCCGCCTGCCTCAGCCTCCCAAAGTGCTGGGATTACAGGTGTGAGCCACCATGCTCACACCAAGCTCTTAATCATTTCTGGCTCTTAAAGTGAGAGACTTGCCACTCTTCCTTTCACTAGAACACTTAGAGGCCATCAATAATGTTCTTAATTGGCTTAATTTCAATATTGTTGTCTCAGGGAATAGGGAGGCTTGAGAAGGAGAGAGGGGCCAGTGAGAGGAGCAGTCAGAACACACAGATTTATCAATTAAGTTCACCGTCTTATATGGGTGCAGTTTGTGGTACCCCAAAGCAATTATAAAAGTAACATTAAAGATCACTGATCACAGATCACCACAGTAGATAAAGCAATGAAAACATTTGAAATGTGAGAACTAGCAAAACGTTAACAGAGAGACACACCCTGTTGGGAAAATGGCACAGATAGATTTGCTTGACACAGGTTGCCACAAACCTTCAATTTGTAAAAAACGCATTATCTGTGAAGCACAATAAATCAGGTGCAATAAAATGAGGTATGCCTGTATAAGGGAGGATATGTATAGGTTAAATGCAAATATATGATTTTATATAGGAGACTTGAGCATCTTCAGATTTTGGTACCTGCAGAGGGTCCTGGAGCCAATCCACCATGGATACCAAGGCATGACTGTACTGTGTTTATGGATTCGAAGGCCCACCGTTGTTAAGATATTGTTAAAGTTTCCCCAATTTGATCTATAGGTTCAATACAACCCCAATCAAAGTCTCAATAAGCTTTTTTGTAGACATTGACAAACTGATTCGAAAATTTATATGGAAAAGCAAAGGAACTAAAACAGTCAATTTTAAAAAGAAGAACAATGTTGGAGGATTCACATTACTTGATTTCAAGACTTATTCAGGTACATTAATCAACACAGGATGGTATAGGCAAAAGGAAAGATATAGTTTAATGGAACAATAGAGACCCATACAAATAGTCAACTGTGTTTGGATAGAGGTACAAAGGCATTTCAACAGAGAAAGGATAATCTTCAACAAATAGTGCTAGAAAAACTGGATATTCAAACACACCAAAAAAAAAAAAACTTTTAACATCCTCATGTCTTGTATAAAAACTGACTCAAAATGGATCATAGAGCTAAATGTAAAATGTAAAACTACAAAACTTGTAGAAGAAAATATGACAAAGTTCTTTCTTAAAATGATGAAAAGATAAAATACAGACTGAGAGAAAATATTTGCAAATCACATATTTTATGAGGAACTTGTATCCAGAATAAATCTTGTAATTCTCAAAATAAGAAAAACGATTCCGTTTTAAAAATAAGATTTTGTATATAATTCTCAGAGACATACTCTGAAAAATATATGAAAAGATGCTCCATGTTATTAAACATTAGAGTAATGCAAATTAATACCACAATGATATATCACTACACACCTATTAGTGTGGCTTAAATTAAAAAGTTGACAATACCAAGTGCTGATAAGGATGCAGAGTGACAGTCATTCACTGAAGGTGGAAATGCAAAAAATAAAGCCCCTTTGGAAAAGTTTTTTAGAGTTAAACATAGACTTACCTTATGACCCGGTAATCCTACTCCTAGGTATTCCACCAAATAAACTGAAAACAAAACCTGTGTATGAATATGTATTTGAAGCAGCGTTATTCATAATCACCAAAAACTTGAAACAACCCAGATGCCTACAACAGAGGAATGGATAAACTGTGACACATCTGTCAATGGGATGCCACTCACAAATAAGGAAAAATGAACTCCGATTCACACAACATAGATGAACTTTAAATGCACTTTCCTATGTGAAAAAGTCAGATTCAAAAGGCTACATATATATGTTTTTTTTTTTAATTAAACGTCAGGGGAAGCGCAAATGTATATTATATGCCTCCATTTTTAAGATTCTGGAAAAGGTAAAACTAAAGGATAGAAAACAGATCAGTGGTTACCAATGGCTGAGATGAGGAAAGGGGTTGACCGTGAAGGGGTTACACAAACTTTGGGTGCTGAAGCTGTTCTCTATGCCACTGTGGTGGTAGATCCATGAGTTCACATTTGTCAAAACCCAGACTGTGCACTATAAAGAGTGACCCTGAATGCACATTAAAACAGAATCAACCAAGATACTGGGGGGATTACAATACGGAATGCAGGTTGTAATGAGTCTAACTGTATTATAAATATATGATATAACCCTATTCAAAGAGGTGGGTAAGAAAGGGACTGACTTAAGTAACTGGAAAATAGCGTTTTGAACAGATACTATAAGGCTATGGGGCAAAAAGAACTGTATACACTAAATTTGCAATTCTGAAACTACTTTTATATTAAGATTGAACAAAAAAAGTAAATATAGATAATGGGAACCAGGTCTATGTCAGAAAAAGCAGTTGAAAGCGAGAAGTGAATGTTAGAATGAATCCTGTGGTGCTGGATTGGTGTCAGAGAAATTAGTATGAAGTCATGTTTATGTTCATCTATCTAGACTGACAAATGCAGAAACATCTATAGATATGTACATGCGTGGGTTGATAAGACACAGATCCCCCTAGCTCCATCCACTGAGAGGGATGTGCATAGCATCCAAATATTCCCCCAAATATTATTACTCTGGTAATTTTAACAGCTGCCCCTGAATTCTTTGATACTCCTCACTCCCAGAGGGTTTACATTCCCTACCCTTCAGTATAGGCTGGGCTTAGTCACTCACCTCTAACAGACTGAGAAAAAGAACAGAGAGCAAATTCACAAAGAAGAATGTGGCAAGCACAGCCTTCAGCAAATGATCGGAGTGGAACATCCTGCTGGTGCCATGCACCATCTGACATGCTGTGACAGAAGGCACGTGACTATTGTCATATTCCTCAAAACCACATCAGTCTAATGAGAAAACACCAGACAACCCCAAAATTATGGGACATATACAGAATACTTGGCCAGTACTCTTCAAAAGTATCCAGGTCATGAGAGACAAGGAAAGACTGAATATCTGGTCAGAGATATAAGGAGGCTAAGGGGACTTGATGAGTAAATGCAATGTGGTATCCTGGGATGGCTCCTGGGGCAGAAAACAGAGTGGAAAATGGGAGATCTGAATCAAGTCTATAGTATAGTGAAGAGCACCACTGTCAATGGTTAATTTCTTAGTTTTGCTGAAGGTCACCATGGTTATGTGAGATCACATTAGAGGCATGTGGGTGAAGGGTATATGAAAACTTTGTGTACTCTCTTTGCAGCTCTTCTGCAAAACAAAGTTATTTCAAAAGAAAACTACAGAGAACATATTTACAGGTAATGGACTTAAATTTAAATATTATTAATAGGGACCCAGACATAATTGAAATTCATTGCTGGGTGGTGACAAATACCCATAAATAATTAAGTATAAATAGCAGAGAAAAAATTCAAAAGAACAGAAACAGTCAATCAACACTTACAGGTTCCATTCTGTTTCATGATGCACAGGAGTAATTCGGCTCCTTTAGGTCCATGTTCATACTTGTCAGAATATAGACTATTTCTAACCACTATTTGATCTGTCTGTGCAAAGGTACTATGAAAAACTTCGTATACACTTTTTTTTTTTTTTTTTTTGAGATGGAGTCTAATTCTCTCACTCAGGCTGGAGTGCAGTGGCGTGATCTCAGCTTACTACAGCCTCCGCCTCCCAGGTTCAAGTGATTCTCCTGCCTCAGCCTCCCAAGTAGCTGGGACTACAGGTGCATGTCACCATATCCAGCTAAATTTTGTATTTTTAGTAGAGACAGAGTTTCACCACGTTGGCGAGGCTGGTCTTGAATTCCTGAGCTCAGGTAATCCGCCCACCTCGACCTCCCAAAGTGTGGAGATTACAGGCGTGAGCCACTGCAGCTGGCCATAAACTTACTATGAGTGACTATGGCCTTGGGCATGGCTTTAAAAATAAATTAAAGCCTGCTACGTGAGCATTCTGAGCCTCCAAGGGACGCTGGCTCCACATCCTGCCAAGCATGCTTCCTGAGGGGAGCATGGAGATGGAAAGCAGCACAGAGGCTGATGACCCCTCTTCATTCAGAAACTTTGCCTCAACCTCCCCGGTCTCCATATGACTCAAGGGTATGAGTATTCACAGATGATCACTGCTTTAACTCTGCTTGATCATAGTCCACATTTCTGACAACAGGAGTTTCTAGGAAATAAATTATCTCTTAAAAAGTCCATTGTTGCTGGGCATGGTGGCTCACGCCTATAATCCCAGCACTTTGGAAGGCCGAGGCGGGCAGACCACCTGAGGTCGGGAGTTCATGACCAGCCTGACCAACATGGAGAAACCCCATCTCTACTAAAAATACAAAAAATTAGCTGGGCATGGTAGTGCATGCCTTTAATCCCAGCTACTTGGGAGGCTGAGGCAGGAGAAGCACTTGAACCCAGGAGGCGGAGGTTGTGGCGAGCCAAGATTGCACCATTGCACTCCAGCGTGGGCAACAAGAACACAACTCCATTTAAATAAAAAAAAAAAAAAATCCATGCTTTTATTTCCACAATTGCTTATTTTATTAAAGAAACAATACAAAAAGTGTTTATTAAAGGAGAAAATATATAGTAATATATTTAAGGCACATGACAAATTTTTGGCATTAAATTGCAAGAAAAAAGAAATACAAATTATAACAGTAAATTTCAGAATCTATTTCTTTAGTCCAAATAGTTTTTTGTTAAAAACTTTCAACAGCACCAGTGGTTTACTGAGATAGGCACATCATGGCTTGGTGTCTCCGTGTGAGAGCAGCTGCTGCCTGGTGTACTCCCAAATCAGCAGGGCTCCACTCACGTGGACATTCAGTGAGCGGATAATGCCCTGCTGAGGAATTTCCACACAAATGTCCAACTGCTGGATCAGATTTGCTGGAATTCCCTCACGTTCATTTCTGAGGAAGAAAATGGAAGAAAAGTTAGTTTTCCTGTATAACAATTTTTTTCTATGATATTCTTTTTATTTTTTATTTTTCTCTTTGATATTCTGAATGTTACTAAAAGAGACATTAACAAATTAAGTAAATCTGTGGTACCAGGAAATAAATAAGAGTGTAAGAAAAAGACTGATGGGTCAATTCTGTGTTCACCTGACCATGCCAGAAAGATGAAATAAAAGAAAAACCCAGGGGGCTTCTTACAAATGTTATAAATCAAAGAGAAGTGCAGGTATGGGCAGTAGTCTAGATAAACTGTAAAACAGAAAGGTAACATCTTCCTAACCAGGCATGGTGGTTCACGCCTGTAATTCCACCACTTTGGGATGCTGAGGTGGGCGGATCACTTGAAGTCAGGGGTTTGAGACCAGCCTGGCCAACATGGTGAAACTCTGGGTCTGGTGGAGCACACCTGTAATCCCAGCTACTTGGGAGGCTGAGGCACAAAAATCACTTGAGCCTATGAGGCAGAGGTTTCAGTGAGCTGAGATCATGCCAATGCACTCCAGCCTGGGCTACAGAGTGAAATTCCATATCAAAAAAAAAAAAAAGAAAAGAAATAACATCTTCTAGTGTCTGGGGTTCCAAGAATATACTATGGACAAGAGGAGCTTCTTACCCCAACAAGAGTAGAGATTTCTCGGGAAAGCAATACTGGGTTAGGTCTAAACTTTTGGCAGTTTGTTCCACCCCAATGATGGTATAACCTTCTGTTTTCTTCTGCTGCAGATAATCAATTAGCTGAGGTGGTTTTACCTGAATATTAGTTTAAATAGAACATAACATTCATTCACTTAATAGCCCTGCTTGTTGTGAATTAGAGTTAAAAAACTTATTAACCTAAACTTGTTATGTCTTTTTAAAAGAAAATGGACAGAACTACACGTTATAAAAAAGAACTCTCCCAACATGATATAAATTTCTAAGAATTATTCCTAAATCAAGAGTGAGGTGTAACAGGATACATTTTACTGAACAGAATTCTACATTATTGATGATTTCTAAATGTGACCTATAAAAAAATAAGTAGAAAAACAGAATTGAGCTGTATTTTACTTTTAAGCATTGTTCTTAAATGATTAAAGATGGCACTACTATAAATTAAGCAAAATAACCAATACACAAAGATAGAGCACTAGAAAATATTTCTACAAACTTTTTAAACTTTTATTTTAGGTTCGCGGGTACACGTGCAGGTTTGTTATAAGAACTTTAATAATAAATTACTTTCTACCCACCTCCACTAAAGGAAGCCACTGTTCTGCAGAGACACTGAGGTACTGGAACTGTTTGTCACTGATACACTGAAGACTGCCAACAACAAGCACGGAAGCCCCAAACACCTCACAGGTCCTGCACAGTCCTGCACAGGACACCTGGAGTCATTACAGTTGTTTCCAGCACAATGCTAACTCATCAGCTCCCACACATTCCTTTGAAGCTCCCGTGGCAGCGGATTAATTAAAAAATATTTAAGACTAAAAGATTTTAGGCAAGCTCCTGGAAATCTACAACTTTACCTCCTAAATTGGTTGGTTTGTCAATGAGCGAGGCGACAACGATTAGTCTACTAATTGACTTTCCAAGTCTGGCAGCACGATCCTGAAACAGGAGCTCCAGGTCTAACTCAGGAACACGATTGTTCCATGGGATAATCTTCTTCTGAACGTCGGTCCACTCTGCTTGGTTATCTGCTTCGACCAAATTCGTACCTGGGAAGGAAAAAGAAAACAATCCACATATAAATAAATCTGAATCTATATGTATTTATACATGTATATGTATTTTTAATAATTTGAAATAACTTCGAATGAGATTTAACAAAGCATTAACTAAAAAACTACTTGCATTCAGACACAATTGCCATTTTTAATAGCAAGGGGAATAAAAATAAAATGAAAATTCTTTTTTACCTATGTCCTGCTGAGACCAGTCACCTGGTTTTAGTTTACTAAGTTGAGTTTGAGAAAGGTACCACTGAAATCCCGCATCTAAAGGAACATCAGAGAATCTGGTAAATTTATCAATGGTGATCCATTCGTCTTCAATGAGGCCTGAAAGGCGTGGAAGGATGTAAAATATGGTCTGAAAAAAGAATTATAAAATCTAAATTTCTTCCTTTAAAAATAATGAAGAAATATACAACACATCTAAAATACAACTTAATTATTAATGATATATTCTCCCAACTATATCTGATCAAATTACCTACTTTCATTTATATCTTATAGCAACTATCTATGTATATTTCTCATCTTCTCTGAGAGGAGGCAGAACTTGTACTCCAGTACTTCTAGCTGTATGTAATAAACCAGTGCATGCCTAATAAAAACAATGTTTCGGAAGTAATCAATTCTAATGATGGACAGTATCTGGATAAGTGCAATTTACTGATAACTAAATACCTCCAAAGGCAATCAAGCTGAAGCTCTTTTCATGACAAGACTTTCGCTCTCATAAGCACTAGATAAACTGAGAATCTGAATCCTGGTTTGACTAATATAATTAGTTGTGTGATGTTAGGCAACTGATCCAGCCTTTCTTGGCTTCAACTTCCTCATTTGTAAAATGAGGATAAAATCAGATTACAACAGCATATTAAAGTGTTTTGTGAAAATGGCATAGTCTGGTACCACTGTTAACAATCCTCACGTAAGCAATCCTCCTTTTCTTTTCTTTTTTTTGGAGATAGAGTTTCATTCTTGTTGCCCAGGCTGGAGTGCAATGGCGCGATCTTGGCTCACTGCAATCTCCGCCTCCCAAGTTCATGCGATTCCCCTGCCTCAGCCTCCAGAGTAGCTGGGATTCCAGGCATGCGCCACCACGCCTGGCTAATTTTGTATTTTTAGTAGAGACAGGGTTTCTCCATGTTGGTCAGGCTGGTCTTGAACTCCCGACCTCAGGTGATCCGCCCGCCTCGGCCTCCCAAAGTGCTGGGATTATAGGCGTGAGCCACCGCGCCCAGCCCTCCTTTGCTTTTTTTACCTACTAAAAGAACTAAACCAGAAAATGACCAACGGTGAAAAGTACATAGGAAGCAGAGGTCCGAGTAACAGGCAACTTAAAAATGAAACAATAAACTGAACAGCATGCACATGTGTTCACGACAGGTTTGAAAATGAATATGGTTTTCTTCATGCTAGCTATATCTGTGCAAACTTGAGCTGTCCTAATGATCATGGCCACATGCTGATTAGGGGAGCACGAAGCACAGCTCCAAATATATGAATTGACACAGTTCTTGTGAACAATTAAGTCCCATTATTTTATTTATATATATAGTTTTAATTCATCTCATTAATGGAGACTAAAACATACAACATATGAGAGTGAGATGGTCAAAGGCAAGGATGAGGGGAGCAAGGAGGGAGGCAAAGGACTTACTCCTGTTGGAGAACTGAATAGGAAAAGGTAGACTTAACACTACAGGGTTACTAGAGGAGTCCTGCAGAAAGATGCCAGACAAAGCATTCTGGACGCTAAAGAACACAGAGCAGAGCATGTTAAAATCTTTGGAAAATCCTAAATGATATTTGCAGTGAAGCAGCAGAAAAAACACAATAGTGTTCTATGATGCATATCTCACAATATATAGATCAATATTTTTTAAAAACCAGTTTATTAGTAATCTTAGTAATCCACCAAAAAACTTGCTTATGCACAGTAGCTTAAGTTACCAATAACTTATAAGTTCTTCAGAGGGAAAGCCCTAGGTCAAATGATTTAAATTCAAGGGCGGCACATTATAATCAAAGTTAAAAAAGGGAGAAAGTAACATAATTTATGCGATGTCTAATGATTTACATATTGAATTAATTTACATGTTAATCATAATAAGCATGTTTATGGTTCTTAAAATTATATAAGCACATTTTGTTACAGTCAGTGAGGTGATGTATCATTTGCTATACCATTTTCATTACCCAGAACCTAAAAAGTGCCATTAACAAAAGAGTTTATCTTTTTGTTCTTTCATTAACAATGGGCTTCAGTACAATAAAATCTCACCTGCACAAATGTTCTCACTCATTTCCTTTTAATGTCAGAACAGATTTCTGTTTAGAGTTAAATATTCCCTTCCATTGTTTACAAGCCAGACACTGCCTGAGAAATAGAAAGTGAAAATGACTAGCCAATTTTCACTGCTTTAGAGTGAAATGAAAGCAAGTCATCTGCATAAACTGACAAACTTAAAACTTTAAAATGGTAATGCGATGTTTGTAAGCAAGAAAAAAGATTTACCCTAATCATAACCTTTCTACAAAAGCAGAGAGGAAGCATCAGGATTAAAGATATAGTAGAGAATTTACGACGATGTTCTCCACTCACCTCTAGACAATAATCCTTGAGTGGGTGAAATGCTGCAAAAAAGAAATGCTCCTGGATGCGCTGCCAATTCTTCTTGGCATTCCTGAGGATTAAAAATAAGGTACGAGCCACAGACAAATGAAAGAACTCTGGTGAGGGAGAATCAATTAGATATCTTAAAGAGGGGCTGCAGAGTTGAGAAGGAACAAAAGTTTGTGAACTTTATCCTAAGATTTATGCACACCTCTCCAAGATCAACATATACTTTAAAAACTGACACTAGATTTCACATTTTGAAATGGAACCTTAAACCTATGTCTCGCAGTAAACTCTTTTTTTCCAGGAGAGAAAAACATTACATAAAAGTCCCTTTTTCTACTCCAAAGACTCACAGCACATAGGCAAACTGTACCCACTTTCACAAACCAGACAAATTTACTATGACCAGAGTTTAAATTTTTAAAATATGTGTTGCCAAGTTTACGATTTAAAAGGCAAAAAAGGTAGGAATACAAATTATACAACATGACAGGCAGATTTCAGATGAAATTCATGATCATCAACCCATAAACTAAGCAGCAATTTCAAGATATTTTTCTGGCAAGATCACTCTCCTGCTCCGACCAATGTATCCACTCCCCAGAGTTCCTATTCCTTACCCCACCCTCTCACTAACAGCAGACAGCCACGTCTCACACATCACCGGAGACAAAAGTGAGAGATCTTTCTTTTTCCTGCCACCTCCTTACACACACCTATCCTCTTTTCTCCTTCACTTTCAAGAGTGTCTCCTCAAAGGGCAATCCCCCTGAACTGATCCCATTCCCCTGAGTTTTGCCCATCTCCCCCAACTTCTGCATCTCCCTTCTTCTCTATTCTAGCCTTTCCTTCAGCCTTTTCAAAACGGCTTTTATATCTAATCTTAAAAAAACCAAACCAAACCTTATTAAAGTGTCCATCAGTAGTGGACTCGAGGTAACTTAAGGCACAGTTATACAATGGAATAGTAGGTAGCTGTTAAAAGAAGAGTCAGTTTACTGGGGTCTCAACTTTGGTGAGAGAAGGGAGGAAGGAGACTGTCTCATTTTTATTTGATGCCTTTCCATACTGTTCAACTTCCTATCTATGAATATCACTTAAAAACAACTAACATGGCCAGGTGCAGTGGCTCACGCCTGTAATTCCAGCACTTTGGGAGGCCACGATGGGTGGATCACCTGAGGTCGGGAGTTCAAGACTAACCTGACCAACATGGAGTAACTCCATCTCTACTAAAAACACAAAATTAGCCAGATGTGGTGGCGCATGCCTGTAATCCCAGCTACTTCAGAGGCTGAGGCAGGAGAATCGTGTGAACCCGGGAGGCGAAGGTTGCAGTAAGCCAAGATAAGGCAATTGCACTCCAGCCTGGGCAACAAGAGCGAAAAAACTCTGTCTCAAAAAAAAAGAAAAAAAAAAACAAGGTTACCAAAAATGAAACAGAAGCCCTCTTTGGCAGCACATCCACAACTAGCTGTTGAACTTTCTAATACAGTTTTTTGAGATAATTTTCTAAATAAGTTGGCTATGCCTTACCTTCCTCATCACCTACTTTTTGAAAAAATAATATATAAAATATTTTAACTATTCCAAATATTCGGGTAAAAAGAATTACAGACACCAATAAACCTACCACTCTGATGTAATATATGTTAATGTATTATCCCATCCACATTTGGACATTTTTTTTTTTGACACAGGGTCTCACTCTGTTGCCAGGCTGGAGTGCAGTAGTGTGATCTCAGGTCACTGCAGCCTCAACTTCTCGGGTTCAGGTGATTCTCCCACCTCAGCCTCCCAAGGAGCTGGGACTACAGGTGCATGTCACCACCTGGCTAACGTGTGTGTGTGTGTGTGTGTGTGTGTGTGTGTGTGTGTGTGTTTGCCACGTTGCCCAGGCTGATCTTGAACTTCTGGGTACAAGCAATCCACTCACCTCAGCCTCCCAAAGTGCTGCTATTACAGGTGAAAGTCACTGCACCTGGTCCCTTCTTGGATCCATTTTAATTCAGTTTCAATCCCCCACCTATGCTACCAAATGGCTTTTGATAAATCCAGCTAAGTACTTTGGTCTGTTTTTTACCTTACCTCAAAGCCTGTCCATTTCTCTGTCCCTCTACTAATCTCACACTAATCTCAATCACAATTTTCCTCCCGCTCTCTCTTGCTCACTTATGATCTGCTCTTCACACTTCAAATAATGTAAAAGCAAACTGGATGATGTCATTCTCAAGTTTAACTTTTTGCTGGTTTCCCAATTCACTCAACATCAACCCAAGCCCAACCCTGTCCCCCTCCATCTTGTGACTACTCTATTCTCTCCATCAGTCAGACCAGCCTTGTTTGAATTAAAGCTCTGGGTAAATTGAGCGGGGCTGGGAGTTCCCAAACTGCACAGTTTTTTTTTTCTTTCTTTTTTTTTTTTTTCTTTCCATCACTCTTCATTGACCTAGTTCCTATTCATGCTTTAGATTTAAATGTAAACGTAATGTAAATGTGCAAAAATCACAAGCATTCCTATACACCAATAACAAACAGAGAGCCAAATCATGACCGAACTCCCATTCACAACTACAAAGAGAATAAAATACCTAGGAATACAACTAACAAGGGATGTGAAGGACCTCTTCAAGGAGAACTACAAACCACTGCTCAAGGAAATAAGAGGACACAAGCAGATGCAAAAACATTCCATGCTCGTGGTTAAGAAGAATCCATATCATGAAAATGGCCATACTGCCCAAAGTAATTTATAGATTCAATGCTATCCCCATCAAACTACCAATGACCTTCTTCACAGAACTTAAAAAAAACCACCTTAAACTTCATATGGAACCAAAAGAGAGCCCGCATAGCCAAGCCAATTCTAAGCGAAAACAACAAAGCTGGAGGCATCATGCTACCTGACTTCAAACTATACTACAAGGCTACAGTAATCAAAACAGCATGGTACTGGTACCAAAACAGAGATATAGACCAATGGAACAGAACACAGGCCTCGGAAGTAACGCCACACATCTACAACTATCTGATCTTTGACAAACATGACAAAAACAAGCAATGGGAAAAGGATTCCCTGTTTAACAAATGGTGCTGGCCATGTGCAGAAAGCTGAAACTGGACCCCTTCCTTACACCTTACACAAAAATGAACTCCAGATGTGTTAAAGATTTAAATATAAGACCTAATATCCCCTCGATGTCACCTGCTTGATACCGAGCTTCCATGTATGATTTTGTTTGGGGAATTGGAGAGTTCTCATAGAAAAGAGAGAAAAGCCTTTAGCTATAACTAATATTGAGAGGTTAAGAGCATGTCTTTAAAGTCAGGTCCTGTCACTTCTAAGCAGTCCTCAAACAACAGAGGATGACATTTAGCTATACTGAAGAGAAACATCTAAAAGTAAGTAAAAGATTACTTGCACAATAAAAGATTGAGGATAAAAGGGCAATAAGAGGTTAAGGTGGAGCTGACAATTAACTGTAATTAACTACACCCCACAGTGAGCTGCTTACACCTGGCCCAGTCCAAGCCCGCGGCGCTCCAGGACATCAGAACAAAGATGTGGAAGGAGGAGAAGCTGATGTGGTATGAGCACCGCCCCCTCCCTGTGGGCCCTGCTGGAGGGTGACAAGGATGAAGAGGGCCACAAAGGCTCCTTACCCTGCTCCATGCATGCTTTCCACTTGATGGAGGCTGGATTCAATCACAGGGGTCAGGGCATCAAATTCTTCAACACGTAACTCTTTACACATGGTCCAGAGTTTCTTAAGAGCAATTAAAGCATACAGTCGAACACTGAAATTGTGACTGAAGCACCACTGCAGCACAACAATAAGGGCTTGCTTCAGAATGAGTTTCTGAAAAGAAAGGCGATAAATTCTTCAAAACACAGCCATCTTACCCTTACTTGTATGACACAAAAAAGTATCGGAATGATAAAACTGCTCCTAGTATTACTTCTTTCAGTGGCTTTGCTACCAGGGCCTCTCATTCTTCCCTCCTGGACAAATTAGGTGCGCTGGCATTTGCAATTTTCTCAAGGGAAAAAAAGCATTCTCCCAGCTCTAGTTTTCATTAATGCTGCAGTACATTTTCCCCCCATACTCTAGTACCTGGGTTAATTTGAAAAAAGTACGTTTTATGCTAATCATTATACCACCACAGTGTTTTTCAAATGGAGCCTCTGTCACTTATTATTTTAATTCGTGCTGAAAAAGTCAGAAATATTCTTCAAGAGCCCCACTTTTGACAGCTTGAAAATGCTCCTAGAGCAATATACCACACAAAGTGCTGTCTTCCTCCTTGCCACTGATTTCTGAGCTACTCTGCCTTCCTGAACGGTGATCCTGGACCCACACAGTACTTAGTAGTGGCAGGAAAATTAAGAAGTGGGGGAAAAATAATAAAACTGTTTCCATTTCCCTGTAGTCTTTTCCTGTGAACTTCAGTCTTCACAGCCCAGAGATTTCATGCAATCCCTTGCTTTCTAAAATCACATGACTCAATAGATAATTGAAAGTCAAAGGAAGTGACATCTATTAATGAAGGAATCAGACAGATCCAAACTTTTAAGAAAATATCAGAAGCTATTTTGATGCTCCTACCAAATGTACTTCTCCCCTAAGGCTCATGTGGAAATGCTCACCAGGCTGCTCCTGGCAGCCCAGTTTCTACTGACCAAATAAAAACATCCATATTCAAAGAACAGTTTACCAAAGGCATCAGCATGGCTGATAACACACTTCAGTTACCCAAAGTTTCTCTGAGAAAGATAAAAACAGATATAAATAATCCTCTTTCTCTCATTCCTTTACTCAACATGTCATCATTTACCAAAGGTCAGTGACTGTACTGCCAACATTACAACATGTGGCGTTATGATATACCCTGGTTTTTGTCCACAATTCCTGGCTTATAACTTCCATAGTCCTTGTTACAGTCTTTTATAATAATGATCCCATTTGGAAGGAAGTCACTCCATGCAGCCCACACTGAAGGAGTGAAAAGTCATGCTCCCCCTCCTTCAGGACAGAGCATCTACAAAAATTACTTGTAATTTTTTTTTACAGGAGATTTGTCTAGTCCATCCCTTTTTTTTTTTTTTTTTTTTTTTTTTCCTTTGAGACGGAGTCTCGCTCTGTCACCCAGGCTGGACAGTAATGGCACGACTTCAGCTCACTGAAAACTCTGCCTCCCGGATTCAAGCAATTCTCCTGCCTCAGCCTCCTGAATAGCTGGGATTATAGGCGCCCGCCACCACGCCTGGTTCATTTTTGTATTTTTATTAGAGACGGGGTTTCACCATGTTGGCCAGGCTGGTCTCGAACCCCTGATCTCAAGTGATCTGCCTGCCTTGGCCTCTCAAAGTGCTGGGATTACAGGCATGAGCCACCGCACATGGACTCATTTATTGAGTCAATCGTTTGTTTATATCAGGGTGGGCTTGGGGATACTTATTTTATTCTTTGGGTTGTAATCCAATACTGCTTTACTTTGTTGCTCACACTGTTTCAGCTTTAGCCACTGGGAGCACCTTCCCTCTGCACGCCCGTCTCACATCACTGTATGTACGTGTAAAGCTGTGCCTTGCTTTCTGACTCTACAAGATGCTCTAGGCTTATCTTGTATACCTTCTGCCCTAGTTCTAGAATCAGATATTTCTCCAGGGATCCCTGGTTCCTGTTATTGGAGAATGGTGTTAGCAACCAAGATCTTGGAGCTAAGTATACATTACTTGTAAATGAAAACAAAAACAAAAACAAAAACCCACTATAATTCTCAATAGGGAAAGCAGTGCTTCCTATGGAGCCTATACTCAAAAATGTTGATATTGCCAGTGATTGCTTGGCTGGGGCTTTGAAGACTTAACTGATGCTTTCATATATATCAGTGTAAAAAGCTCTGCTCCTGAATTCTCATGTTCTGCTCACTTTATACAATGAACAAGCTGACTGGACAATACACAACTATGAGCATAATTAAGAAAGGCTGTTTTTTTCTTCCTTTTTACTTTTATAGGAACACTTTGTGCTCTGACTTTGAAACCACCACTGCAAAATTGTGACCAAGGCAGTGAAATAGATCTGACCTAACCAACTCTATCTTGCTTCTAACCTCCAAGCTGTCCTTGTTCATTCCTGGGCACAGCTAACTTTGGGAGGCACTTAGTTCATAGTTTAAAACAAAGATGGTAACAGCCCTTTCCCAAAATGAACCTCCTTCTTGCCTGAAGACTTGACTGCCTTTATAGGACTAACAAATTAGCCTCAAGATTAGAAATTATGGTTTAGGAGTCATGAAGCTGGAGGCTACAAAGTTTTGACCCTCCCTAAACTGCTCCTAATGTCAGTGCTTGAGATATTTTGCAGACCCTGCACTTGATGGATCAGCTGATACCACCCAGATTGATAAACTGATATTGTGGCCCCCACTGTGGAACTGACTTAGCACAAAAGGATGCCTCAACCCTATGATTTCATCTCCTACCCAACCAATCAATACCCTCGACTCACTGGCCTTCCCCCTCCCACCAAGTTATCCTTAAAAATTCTGATCCCTGAATGCTCAGGGAGACTGATTTGAGCAATAATAAGACTCCTGTCTCCTGCACAAGCAGCTCTGCATAATCTTTCTCTATTGCAATTCCTGTCTTGATAAATCAGTTCTGTTTAGGCAGCAGAAAAGGCGAGCCCATTGGGCGGTTACAACCTCTATCGTGTTTGACAATTGTTTTCAATCTCTAATTGCTCAGTACGGATCCCGTATACAGGTTAAGTAAGACACTTTGAAGAAAACAGAAAGTCTTAAGTGATTGCTTCCAAGAAGTCAACCCTACATTTATCTCGGTAACAATGGACTTTATGTATCAGAAATGAAGAGACTGACAAAATAAATCAGTTTGGCCTTTTCTTAGGTATGGTAAGTCTGTTTTTTTTTTTTTTTCTAAGGTGTTGAAATGGAAATTATTCCATGCTACTAATTGGTGTTCCATTTTGGATGCTTTGAAAATAAAAAAGTAAATCTAAAATATGTAATATATGGCAAGTACAAAAAGGGCTTGATGGAAAAATAACATGTTATTTTTTACTAGATCTAACATGAACATCTTCTAAGATAAATTCATTTTCAGAATGTGTCTAAACTATTCTTAGGCTATTGATCTACCGGGCAACAGGACAACGTCTGCTCTGTTTTAGCTTTCACAATAGACTGTAAGCAAATCTCTTTCCTGCACATATTTAAAACAGAAAGATAACATTTGATCTTGTCTGATGCCAGAGCCTTCTTGATCTTATGGAAAGTGTGAACAAGTTTTCCTGGAACTGTAACACACTGCCATCTGGCTGATACACACTGCAAGACACCATCAATTTAAAAATGTTACCATGATTTTAAAGCTTAAAATGTGTTGTGGAGAAAGGACTGTCTTAGAATGGATAAAACAGGTTAATAAAAAACATATCACTGTATAAAAACTTTGAAAAATTCTAAGCCAGGCACAGTGGCTCGTGCCTGTAATCCCAGCACTTCGGGAGGCCAAGGCGGGTGGATCACGAGGACCAGAGTTCCAGATCAGCCTGATCAACATGGTGAAACCCTGTCTCTACTAAAAACACAAAAATGAGCCAGGCTGGTGCTGTGCACCTATAATCCCAGCTACCTCGGAGGCTGAGGCAGGAAACCGCTTGAACCTGGGAGGCAGAGGTTGTGGTGAGCTGAGAGTGTGCCATTGCACTCCAGCCTGGGCAACAGAGCGAGACTCCGTGTCAAAAGAGAAAAAAAAAAAAGAAAAGAAAAACTCTAGGAAAGCGTATTTTCCCATATATTTTTATGACACTTTCAATACTTAATAACACTATTTCAATTAAGTTTTCTCCTAGAGTTTACAGTGTATCAGTACATTCTTCTCAGTGGATATAATAATATAGAACCTTATTCCAAATCTTACTGGCAGGTTCTCCTAAATTCTTCAACGGTTGCCATAGTGATTAACCAAAATTAGTTATGATTTCTGCTCATCTGTGTGAGAACCCACTGGGGACATTGTTCTAAACCTGAGAAACATGAAGTAACTGTACTGCATACTCCAAATGATGACAGTCATTTTATATCACCTTCGGTTGCCCAACAGCTTTTAATAGTCTGGCCGTAAGTTTCTTTGCATGAGCATTTGTTAAATAACTACCATTCAGTCACAGAATGCAGTAAGGAAAGTCCTGCTTAAAGAATCTTAAGTAATCCCAATCCTAAGAATTATAAATAATTCTTAATTTTATACAAGTATCAACAAAAAATTACCCAGTAATTTGTCTATAAACTTGGTATGTACTCAAGCACACCTCAGTGTGTATGCATGTAAATGAGTAATTCTCATTTATTGGGTATTTGTATCTAATATATGTGGACATTAGCAGAGCAGTGGAAAGAGAGAAACTGAAAAAAAAACCCACAGGAATGCTCTACATATAAAGAACTGGTACAAATACGTAAGATTCTTTTTTATAGTCAAGTTTAAATTCTTACAAACAACTTAAAACTCACCTTTTCTGGAATATTTTGAGTAATAATGTCCAAATGTGACAAAACCGCTAAAAATGTGCAAATGCTTGTTTTAAGATTTTCTTCACCCTGAAAAAAGAATCAGATAAACAAATATCCATTCAAAGCTTACTGTGAGTCACGCATGTGCAAGGTGCCGGCCGTGCTGGACTCTATGAGGGCCCAGGATGGGAGGCAGCCTCTTCCCTGAGACAGCCCAGGGTCTGGGTGGGAAGGGGGTTGGCGGGGGAAAAGCTGGATTGAAAGCAAAGGAAATAACTTCCCAGAGGCAAGTGTCAGTGTACACAAAAATCAACAGGTCACATAAAGTATTGAATAACTCAACTCTAAGTATAGCAGAGCTGGGCGCAGTGGCTCACACCTGTAATCCCAGCACTTCGGGAGGCTGAGGTGGGCAGATCACTTGAGGCCAGGGGTTTGAGATCAGCGTGGCCAACATGGTGAAACCCCATCTCTACCAAAAAATACAAAAATTCGCTGGGCGTGGTAGTGCACACCTGTAATCCCAGCTACTGGGGAGGCTGAAGTGGAAGAATCGCCTGAACCCGGGAAACAGAGGCTGCAGTGAGCCGAGATTGCACCACTGTACTCCAGCTTGGGCAACAGAGTGAAACACAGTCTAAAAAGATGTCCAGAAAATAAAGTAGAGTGTGCCCTCTGTATGCATGGGTTCTGCATCTATGAGTTAACCAACCATGGATGGAAAATATCTAAAGAAATAAAAATGTAAAAAACACAACGCAATTAAAAAGTAATACAAATAAAATTAAAAACCACATAAACAGCTATTTATGTAGCATGTACATTGTATTGTACATTATACGTAATCTAAGATTATTAAAGTATATGGGAGGATGCATGTCAGTTACATGCAAATACTATGCCATTCTAAAGGACTTGTCCAGGCATGGTGGCTCAAGCCTGTAATCCCAGCACTTTGGGAGGCTGAGGTAGGCAGATCATGAGGTCAAGAGATCCAGACCATCCTGGCCAAGATGGTAAAACCCCATCTTTATTTAAAAATACAAAAATTAGCTGGGCGTGGTGGCATGTGCCTGTAGTCCCAGCTACTTGGGAGGCTGAGGCAGGAGAATCACTTGAACCCAGGTGGTGGAGGTTGCAGTGAGCCGAGATCGTGTCATTGCACTCCAGCCTGGCAACAGAGCAAGACTCCCTCTCATTCATTCATTCATAAATAAATAAATAAATAGGACTTGAGCATTTTCAGGTTTGGCATCCGTGCGGGGCCTGGAACCAATCCCCCATGGATACCAAGGGTTGACTATACGTGGCAGAGCCAAGGGCATGCTCACTTCAGGAGAAGTGATGCCTTCAGGATGGGAAGGACTGGCCTGGAGAAGGAGCAGGAAGATGAGAGAACAGGTAAGTGAATAAGAACAAAGACTCAAAGGCAAACTTAAGGGAAAGGCACCAAGAGGAGATACAGCCAGTTGGGCAGGGAGGGATGCGGATAAGGCTCTAAAGTTAAATGGAATCACACTGCAGAGGCTTTAAAAAGCTATAGCGAAAAGCTATGTCGCACTTAATCAGCCATCTTGAGGAAAATTTCCAAAAAAGACTGTTCAACTAGAATCTGGAAATCTCCATCATAATAGTAGTTTAGAATAATACATTATTTTAGTGATAATAAACTGATATATGCCAGACAGATTGGAAAGAAAAGAGCATATAAGCAGGAACATCAGTTTGGAAACCTCTCCAAGAGGCAAATCAGATGATTATTTAATTCCTTTCTTTAATTAATAGTTAATGAATGTCTTCTACGTAACAGTTACTATAGAAACAAGTTCCTGTAACTTAAAAGTCTACTGGAGAAGATAAAAATCAAATCAGATTAAAATTCTAACTATAAGCAGTAATATTTATGTGCTATGAAAACCTAAAATAAGAGGATCTAAATATTCCAGGAGGCAACTTCCTTTAACAATGACGATATGGGCCAGGTGCAGTGGCTCCTGATTATAGTCCCAGCACTTTGGGAGGCCAACACAGGAGGATCACTTGAGGCCAGAAGTTCCAGACCAGCCCAGGCAACATAACAAAACCTCACCTCTATAAAAAATTAAAAAAAAAAAAAATTAGCCAGGCATGGTGGCATGTGCTTTATAGTCTCAGCTACTCAGGAGGCTGAGGTGGAAGGATTATTTGAGCCCAGTTGTTCAAGGCTGCAGTGACCTATAATCACCTAAGTGACAGAGCAAGACTCTGTCTCAAAATTAAAAAAAAGAAGACATGAGAACTGAGATGTGAAGGGAGAGAAAGAGTTAACTAGATAAAGAGAAGAAAAACTATTTTGTGTAGGGGGCACAACAGGTGCAACAGCCTGAAACCAAAAGGGCTAGTGATGGGCATGAAAGATTAAAAAGGTCAGTGTGGTAGTCAATTATCCCGGGTGGCCCCCAGTCAACCAACCCTCTCTATGCATACCCTAGCAGGGATGGTCATATGATTTGCTCTGGCCAATGAACGTTAGCAAGCCTGATGCACCCAGAGGCTGGATGAGCACTTGCACGTGAGGACATGGCCCCCGCCTCCTGCCTGGAATGCTCATTCTTGGAGCTCTGAATATAAAGAGATCCAGCTATTTTGCTGGAGACATGGAGCAAGACTCTGTCTCAAATAAATAAATAAGTAAATTTAAAAACCTGTGAACACAAGCACCTCTTTCATAAGTCTGACAGTGAAATAGTAGAGAGCCACGGTGATTACAGGAGAGGAATGAGAAAACATCTAGTGTAAATAGCCATAGAAAATGGAAGCCGACTCAGGAAAAGCCAATGGGACCATTTGGTTAAGGAGAGACTGAGGAGAGAAGACAGGCTGACAGCAACAAATGACTAAGAAGGCGGGAGCCCAGAGGGCCAAAGAGCCAGTGGAAGAATTACTCTGGCACTGGAGAAGATTCTCATTCTTTATGGTAAAAGGAGGGAAGAAATCTCAGATGGATACTGACATAGGCAGATTTGTCTGATTGCTATTGAGAAGATACAGGTATTCCTATGTGGTAACTGTTATTTAAAAAATAAAGGGTAAGGTAATTTGCTTCAAATAAAAGAGTAAAAGGTGTAGTGGACAACTGCCCCTTTCTTTGATATGTATCCAGAATCTCCTCCCACAATTAGGGAATTATTCCATTTTATAAGTATTCAGGGACACTGAAAAATGCCAGAAGTTCATCTTCCTAGCCTCCTTGCCACTAACAAAAAGGCACCTGACCTGGTTCCAAAGACCCCAGTTCCTATTTCTAAACTGAAAACTTACAACTCTCCACTGCAGGTGGCAGAGACAGCAGGTATACAGTTGACTATGGCAAAGCCCTGCTGAAGGCACCATATGTCCAGTGGGGTAATGTCCCCAGTGAACCAACTCTCTCTGGCCTGCCTGTGGCTGCTGTTCTGGATGCCATTGAGCCTCCCCTCACTGCCAACTTTCCAGGCCTGATTCTGTAGCTTTCCCAGCATTCTGTAAGCTACCTACTACTGTCCTCTTACCCACTACCTTTTTTGAATCCCTTTTGGATTCCATCAGCAAAAGCTTCCTTTGCCTACATCAAAAAAAACTCCGACTGATGTCCACAGGTTAAAATCAGATTCAAAGAGAATATACAAGGTCTAATGACAAGTGAGAGGCTGAGCTAAGCAAAACAACAACAAACTAACAACTGGCACTACTGTGGACGGGAGAATTAGGAAGTCTTGGGGGTATACCAGAACTAGTCTGGTCTTTGTGAGAATTCCTAGGGTGGCACTAACGCATTTGAGAGTTGTCACGAACAAACTATATTAATAAAGCCATAGGTCTAAAAAGCAATTCAAAGAAAAAGAATCTGTTTCTTCATTAAAGTAACATGAAGATGAGAAAGAAGAGCCGAGGAGCCTGGGAAGAGGTCAAAATTTCTGAGATGGAGTCTCTGATGTGACGCCATCTGGAGCACAATGGGGTGATCTCGGCTCACTGCAACCTCTGCCTCCCTGGGTTCAAGTGATTCTTCTGCCTCAGCCTCCCGAGTAGCTGGGACCACAGGTGTGCACCACCTCACCTGGCTAATTTCTGTATTTTTAGTAGAGACAGGGTTTGACCATGTTGGCCAGGCTGGTCTCAAACTACCTGACCTCAAGTGATTTTCCCGCCTTGGCCTCTAAAAGTGTTGGGATTACAGGCCGAAGCACTGTTATTTCTTAGTGGTGTGGCAATTGACTTAATCGTTGCTTTCTTCGTAAGGGTAAAAATCCCAACCTGTCTTTGAGGATTATTGTGAGGCTGCTATTGCTGCTGCTTATGGTGACACCCAAGTTTTAAGCTAGGAGACTGGGAGAATGAAAGACATCAGAAAGGGGAGTCAATTTTAGGCAAGATGCCATTACCAGTTGAGTTTAATACAGGGTGAAGTGATTGCGGAAAGACCTTGCATGTGGCTGGAGAAGCAGAGATGGGCTTTACTACGCTAAGGGGGCCCAGAAAGAGAAGCAGACAGGCTAACCAGCAACTCTTCAGATAAAACCATGTGTAAAGGTTTGGAGAGAGAAGCAAGCATGTGAAGGAAATAGAGAGGCTATCAGCACAAACAGGAAGAAGAATTATGAAGTTGACCACAGTGTAAGGGTCAGCTGTGGAGAAAGCCACCACCAACAGGAAGGCGTGAAATGAAAGGGGGGAGTATGGAAGAAAAGAGAAAGGCTGCCTGCAGCTCAGAGGAAATCCTTGATGTACCACTGTTGAAAATGGAGTGGACCAAAGTGGCTTGAGGCAGGCAAAGATCACGTATTGAAGTTTCACGGTAGAGAAAAGACACTGGATGAGAGCTGGATGGAGGAAAAGAACAAGGATGAAGAATTTGGTGAGGTCACAAAGGAGATACAAACAGGTCACAGGGGATAGATGTGAAAAAAGAATAAGGACATCTCTCCTGAAATAAGAAGAAACAGAAAGAGATACTTTGAGAAAGTCACCTCCATTTTCACACAAACTAGAAGACAAGATCATCTATTATGAAAGGGAAAGGTGAAATCTGGGAACCAAAAGAAAGCATTCAATATTTAGAAATGATACTTAGAAATAAGTTGCTATCTGTAAAGAAGCCAGCAATTAGAGGCTCTATCACTAATTTTAGTGTCAATTCCTTAAAAAGGACTTTCAATATATAAGAAATGTTGGAAAGGGATTAGGGGAGTGTGTGAGGGTACAGATGAAAAAAGAAAGGAAATGAACTGATATTACTTCTGTTCTTTCTACTTTGATTATCTGTGAAATCTTCCCAAAACTTTTTTTAATTTTAAGAAATGCAATTAATTCCTAATCATTAATATTTCTAAGATCAAACAAAGCCATTGCTTAGTAAATAAGAATATAGAAAGCACCTATTTCCCTCATTAAGACAAACACCTTTTCCATCTTTATTTTGTTGAACAGAACAGCTCTCAAATAAAAACTATGAAATACTCAATATGAATGCCAGGGATTTCTGTCTTCTGAATTAATTCAGATATTGCAAAACATAACTTATGTCAATACATTAGGGCAAATGAGAGTAAATACAACTATTTAAGTGAAACAAATCTCTCAACATTGTCAAAATCATTTCCTAGTTTAAAAAAATATTTTAAAAAGTTCTTCACTTACATAAGAAAAACAATCCCAGAACTTTGGAAGAAATTGAGGGAATTTATGAAGAATCAATATAATAATCCATTCTATAAAATATTTTATGGAAGCTTGATTATTGATGAAACCAGCCTGGAATATTCTGTCAATAATTCCATTCAAGAAATTCTGAGAAAAAGAAAATTCACAATTAAACAGTTACAGTTATTCATTTTAATTTACAGTCTCCATTTAAAATAAAATGGCTTAACGTTTTTTATTGTAAGTAATTTATTAAATCTACAACTCCCCAAGCAAAGACACTAAAAACTACTGATTAAAATATAATGAAGAAGTACCTTCATTCAGTACTTTATAATTTACTTGGACATCAGTTCTGTTTATAAGGAAGGTTATTTATCACCTGTATTTTTATAGGGAAAGGAAAAGATTCAGAAAAGCTGAATAACCTTCCCAAAGTCACATACCTAGTAAGTGGAGAAGTCAGGTTCAAATCAAGATCTGCAAAGATGCCAGGGCTTAAACCTTGTAACAAGGGATGGTACAGAGACTGAAGTCAGCAGGCGGGAAACAGCATCCCAGAGGGGCAGGTCTCGGGCCACTGAACCCTCTGTTCAGGCTCCTTGTCCTCCTGCGCTCATGGTCTGTGCTGCCTCACAACTACTGCACTATCTCTGGCTCCAAAATCATCTTTCCCCCTTCCACCCTCTCCTCTTCAAAACTGTATTTCTATCTGGGGGACCGAACCTATCTAAGTAGCAGGTGAAAAATAGTATCTACTTACATAAGCATATACAAACAATATGTCTTATGTACATTTCTTTAAAGAAGAAAAGGCCCAGCACAAAGTGTTGCCTGTAATCCCAGCACTTTGGGAGACCGAGGCAGGCGGATCACCAGGTCAAGAGATTGAGACCATCCTGGCCAACATGGTGAAACCCCATTTCTATTAAAAACACAAAAATTAGCTGGGCGTGGTGGCGCACACCTGTAATCCCAATTACTTGGGAGTCTAAGGCAGGAGAATCGCTTGAACCCGGTAGGGGGAGATTTCAGTGAGCCAAGATCATGCCACTGCACTCCAGCCTGGCGACACAGCGAGACAAAAAAGGAAGAAAAATCTATCTTACAAGAATTTCTCCTTGGCAGAAAAAGAGCAGAAGGGCTCATTTTAAGCCCTGAGGGTGCTGTAAAGTGGAGCACGAATTGTGTAGTTAGGCTTGATTTTGAATTCCACCTCTACCATTCACCACCAGCTGTATTACCTCACAGGCAGGACACCTAACCTCTCTGAACTGCAGTGCTCTTAGAGGCAAAATGAGAATATGTATGGCCTACCTTGGAAGAGTATCAGGGAGATTAAACAAAACCGTAAGATATAGCAGTTTCTAACTCTGAGCTCCATAACAGACTGCCAGCTTTCCTTTTCCTTGCGGGTGTGCCTGCTTGGTCACGTCCCCACCCTCTCCAACATTTCCCTTCTCTGTAGAAGGGCCTCTCCATTCTAAGAAAAAAATGCTCTCAGTAATCTAGTCGAGCATTTCTAAGATGTTTCCTTTCTTAATACATCTTTATGTTTAATGATGTATTTTAAATCAAATAATACTAAGAGACCTGTGATGAAAAATAGCAACCTCCCCCACGCCCCCATATCCATCAAAACTACTCCCCAGAAGCAATTCTTTTATGTATTTCCTTTTAAATTATTTCAAATAGTTATATTTTAATATACTTATGTATTTACACTGTTTTGAAATATTTCTCTCTCACAGATATGACTTCATAAAATTGTAAAAAAAAAAAAAAAAAGAGGCAGGTATATATTTTTTAATTCTCTCACACATTTCAAAGAAGGTAGGGAGAACAGTAGGAAATTTCAAAGTCTGAAAGATGTTTTTTACATTGAAAAATGTTTTTAAAAATTGCATGAGTCATATGCCATCACTTTCCCATAATGATGACCGATTTTCTTAGCAGGAAGATTAAGCAAAGGTGGTTAGAAAAATCAGATCCTCCATTCAACTGTTTCTTGCCTCCTCAGAGAAGAGAAAAGGTAACTTTGGATAAAGATACTTTGCCTTTCCTTAGCTGGTTTATGTGGTCACACGATTCATGAAATCAAGGACAAGGAAATCCACCATGTGAAACAATATTCCCATCCCAAACCATACAATTTGCCTGGTTTCTAGGTATACACAATCCAAAACAGTAACACTCTAAAATAACTTAACTACAGCAAATCAGGAGTTAAGTATTTGCATTTTCTTATCAAATGGCAAAAGAGACTTAAAACAGTTAAAATGTTACAATAAAATACTAAAGAGAAAAAGTATGAAATGGGGCCATGTAAACCAACTTCTAACTTATTTCTATAATATCTAATTGCCTTGGTATTCTCTCTGTTAATAAAAACTTTTCAGTAACTTCAATTTTAAGAACTAAAGTATAAATTTTAAACATTTTTTTCCAATTTTAAAATAGTATATGACAGTTTCTGCAAAATAGTTTAGCCATAAAATCCTATGGGTCAAAGGTATAAAGGTAATAAAATATGATACCTGATCAAGTCTAGGGAAAAGTACAAGCAGAGTCTGCCATATGCGGTTTTTCACTCTGTGCTGTAGAGAATTCACATAGTAGCGTCTTTTGGACTTGGACACTAATTCATCCTGGAAAGGAGCGGGGGGAGTCAATACTAAATTATCTATTCAATTTGTGATTCATGAAAAAATCAATGACAACTTGAAATGTAAAAGGCTTAAATTAGTCATAAGGGCTTCCCCCCTGCCGACCCCCAAAAAGAAGCAGTTAGGAGGATGAGAAAAAGAATGGCACCTTAAAAATTTTCAAACATTGATATTTTGGGCTGAGTGATAAGAAAAATAAAAATTTTTTTTTAAATAAAACATTTCATACACTGAACTTAGTTGCTTTTGTTTAACTTAACTGTTTGTTTTTTTCCTTTTTTGAGATGGAGTCTCATTCTGTCGCCCAGGTTGGAGTGCAGTGGTGCGATCTCAGCTCAGTGCAACCTCTGCCTCCCAGGTTCCAGCGATTATTCTCCTGCCTCAGCCTCCCGAGTAGCTGGGATTACAGGTGCATGCCATCATGCCCAGATAATTTTTGTATTTTTAGTAGAGACAGGGTTTCACCATGTTGGCCAGGCTGGAGCTCCTGACCTCAGGTGATCTGCCTGCCTCAGCCTCCCAAAGTGCTAGCTAGGATTGCCGGCATGAGGCACCACACCCGGCCACGTGTTTTCAAAATTAGAAGAGGGGCTAAAAAACTGGGAGCTATAGGTCACAGGGGCGAGAAGAGATTGAGATACTGAACATACATTGCCACATATTACTATGTACCTTAGAGGCATCTCTCACCTTGTGCACCCTTGTCATATTCACGTTTAGAATACTGGTACCTACAATCTGATGCAAACACCACTAAGACAGATGCCACCCCAGTACGTGGACAGTGCAAGGCATCTCTATGCATGATGTGTCTCTAGATACAAGAAAATGGCAGCACTGGAGCCTTTCATACTAGCAGAGAGCTCTCCCCGGCTTTTCATGGTCTGTGCCACCTAAATTCAGCCAGCTGCAAACTTTGCTTTTATTACCATAATTACTAGTGCTCTGGCTGCAAAGCAAGATGGCACTGAAGAGTATGTCAACGTTTTCAAATGTTTTAAAGGTGAAGTCATCCGCCACCTCCAAAACCATTTTCACATAATGTAGGCGATCCTCATCTACTTCATAAGTTCTCTGACCTTTCTTCTTCCATAATCTCATTCTCTGCATTTAAGTGTGTACAAAGTTTCATGACAATAGCTAAATTAATATA